GGATATTAAGATACCCTATAAAAATACTCTAAATGCGAAGATGCTATAACAGTAGCACTTAGATGGACACTATCTATAACGGATAATTTTAACCGTAAAATTTATATTCTATGTAAGAATAGAACTAAATATTTAATACTATCGTCGAGAGACCTATTAAAAAGTCGCCTGTGGACTAAAAAAAGAATTGAGAAATAACACGCGAAAAAGTAACAAAGCCTTTGAATTGCGCTCCGGCGTGTTACCGTTCATATTTGAGGATATAGCTGATAGCAGGAAATCAGCAAATGAACTCTGCGAAGATTTTCCAACCTAGGGCGTCAACCTGAGAAGGGTTGTAGGCGTACTGCTGTAAGTCCTACAATTTCTTCAAAGGGTAGCGCATTAATGTGCAGTCCAATGTGCTTGGTGTGTGATTTTGTACATATGTTCATATTGTATGTACTGAATTGGTATCATTTGTCATCTAGCTTTTGGTAATTCTGTTTGTGTCCGGACATTCCACAAATTACAATCGTCAACTTGAGAAGGGTTGTAGGTGTACTGCTGTAAGTCCTACAATTTCTTCAAAGGAATTCCACGAAGACATGATCCGCGAGGTTATTTGTACTGTTTGTATATGCGAGTGGTGTGTCATATCAATAGGTGTTTTGGATTCATTGTGTTTACTCGTTGTTTTCGTACCTTGTTGTTATTGCGTAATTTTGTTAAAATTTTCGTCGTGATTACTTCTGAAGTTGTTTCGAGTTTTCTACATCCGTGAATGAATTGATTGATGTTAAGGACAGCAGATGGGTCGTATATGCCGGGGAGGCTATGGCTGAGAATGAAATGCATACGGAGATAATTGTTAGCTGCGGTCCCACACGCCGGGGAGCGGGAGTGTAAACGACTGAGGCTCGCATACGTCACCGTTACTAGAACTGAGGCAGAATGAGTGACAAGCGATTGCAGTGGTAATTGGTAGTGAGTAGATAAGAGGATGGGCGTAGAGTATCGTGAAGTGCTGCTATGGTCACGTTGCATTCTGCAAGAGTCATTCTAGCGAGTGGCGGTTGTGTTGCAAGATGTCAAGAGGATACCTTTATCTGGAGGCGCAGGTCGTCATCGGTGTGTGAGATTGTGCTGTGGGTATGCTTGTGGTGTGTTGGCTTTTCTGTTTGTTTTCCATTTCAGCTCTGTCCGTGTGACCCAGGTTCTCGCAATGGCATCCAAGTTGGCGTGTATTGGTCGTGAAGGAAAAAAAGGTTGAATCCGTATTTTGCCGGGGAGTGTCAATGTAGTTGTAGATTGAACGATCAATTCTTGGTTGTTTGCTCAAAACCAACTTCCCCAATTTTCGCGGAGGCATCAATACACCAGTCATCGTCTCATCGGTCGCTGTTCACAAAGAAGTCAGACCGAAACCGTCAGAAGTAATATTGTGATTTATTATTGTAATATTTGTTCATAGACCTCAGTTAAAACTTAATTTCAAAGCTGCCTATATGTTGGTGTTACAATAAAGAATTCTCGAGTAGCCAATCGGTGTTTTGGTTTTTTCGTCCGTTGTTACCAAGCGTTTCTGTGAAACTTCAAGGAACAGCGTGAGTCCCAGTGTAGCAAGAGCTTGGCATTGATGGTTTACGAGACGTGGCCGACAGTGGCGCTAGCTGATCAGTAGATATGGTGGTGGTCACTAAGGTGAGTCGTCCCATTCTGCAGGAACAGCAATATGCAATTTGACGACCTGAGATTTCTATGAGGGCTTAGATCTGGATGAACAGGAAGAAATATATTATTATTATTACATCTTTATCTTGAAAAAGACAGTGATCGCCTAGAAAGAACATGACTCGGCCTTTAAACATATACCGTTCACTCAGCCTATTGTTGAGACTCGACCACGCGGGATCTGCAAAGATTTATGGGGCATCTTATAAATTAACTTGCTATCCATTTTCGGATCTTTAAATACCACTTCACAATGTCTTGTCTCATTCATTTTCTAATAACGTCTTTACATGATTATCATTATATTCCATTAAACCTAACATTTTAAAGCTCTATATGAATTCGATTAGACTCATTCTATTCGTATTTTTGTAGGGTACGGTTGTGCACCAAATGCAAAAAAAGGTATGAAATAAAAACAACCAGCATGAGGGTAAATGTATTCAAGGCAAAAGTGGACACCATGATAGTAAGACCTATATAGGTAGCATTATACATTGCAAATGCACGTTGTCAGCCTAGGGATTATATAGTTTCCCATTGCATTTCCTTTATAAATGGATTTATTAGTGATACATTGCACTTACTTATTTCATTACACTTTAATGGTCCACCTTAGCACTTTGACGCTTCTAAAACAGCTTTCAATCCCTTGTAAACGTTGTACTTACCTCAATATTGGTTGGTTATCGTATGCCTACAACCACGGGTTGAAAACCAAACGAAGTCGATTTTCCCGCACAACCTGAAGGACAACTGTACAATTCAATAACTATACGGCCTGTTTCAGACGATGAGTGTATTTATATATATCAAATGTTTAGCTGTTGAAACATTTTTAACTTGTAGACAACCTACGATTTGATATTATATCATACTAGATCGTGCCTGTAAAAATGGCATGCATTTCCACTTAAATTTATGTGCTTATATGAAAATATACATTATTATTATAAGGTGCCTACCGATTGGAGGAAGGCCTAGCTACCTTGTGAAGCCACCAAAAAAGGGCGACTTAGGCCTCTGCGATGACTGGCGTAGAAAAATACCCTTGTCAGCTTCAAGTAAAATACTAAGTCGCGTCACCCCGGAGAGAATAAGAGATGCACTGGATACAGAACTTCACACCTCACCGGAACAAGCTGGATTCAGGAAAGGTGAATCATGTGCTGGTCAAATTGCAACTGTAAGCATCGTCATCGATCAAAGCATTGGATGGCAATCAAACCTCTTCCTCAGTCTCACCAACTTTGACATCGTAGGCTCAGAAGTAATTTGGAAACTACTTCAACACTACAGCGTTCAAGTCTTTATCAAGCTCATCCAACTGCTGGATATATACGACAGTACTACTTGTCAGGTGATGCACAACGGAAAACTCATCGAGTCATTACAAGCGCATACAGGAGTAAGACAAGGTTGCCTAATACCACTGATGATATTCTTAATTGTGGTGGACTGGAATATGTTTCAGACTGTGCGTGTGGGTGAGGAGTCATGAATACGCTGGAAAACCCATGAGAAGACTCTAGAAGATCTGGATTTCGCAGATGACATATGTCCAATGTGACACAAACTCGAAGACATGCAAGCGAAAGCCAGCAAAATATCTGGTGAGGCTGACAGCGAAAGCGGGGCTTCAAGTGAATACAGAGAAGACGGAGGTGATGAAGACAACCAACAGCAACAATGACCAGCACCGGTCACCATCAGCGGGAGAGATTTAACAGAGGTTGACTCCTCCACTTATTCTGGGAGGCATCGTGAAAATTACAGGCGGGACGGAAGAAGATGTCAAAGCCAGCTAGAATCGGAACGACAAGCAAGATACGCATTCATCAGCGTGAAACCAGTTTAGAAATCTTCCATACTCAGTATAAGGAACAAGATTAGCATTTTCCACTCCAATGTGAAGTCGGCCCTTCGATTCGGGTCAGAAACCTGGCATGTAATTAACCAAGAGCTTTCCTTACAGGTTGCGGACTCTCATCAACATCTGCTTTCGCTTCATTTGAAGATCAAATGGCCAGAAAGAATAAGCAACAAGAAACTATGAGAACAAACCAACCAGGATCCGATCGCCCAACAAATATGTAGGAGAAAGTGAAGATGGACCGGGCATACATTGGGACGCCACCTAGTGACATCGTACGCCAGTTCTTTAATTGGATTCAAAATGGGAAGCGGCGAACGGGTCGTCAGCGCGAAGGTGACATTTAGGGGATCATTTGAGGAAGAGATTAGAGGGTTTGGTCAATCATGGACCTAACTGAAGAGGACGGAAGAAAACGGAACAAGGTGGAGATGTCCTGCTGAAGCCTTATGTTTCCTTAGGAACGCAAGGGAATAATAATAATCCTTCAGTTCTACTATATACCTGACCAAAACTCTCGGAGACACACCCACTCCGAAGGTGCCCTGATGACAGTGACAAAATCTGTGGTATTATTCAATAATCATAACATCACAACCCAAAGCTACTTCAATAATGCCGTTACGCAGTCATCCAGATCCAGTACTTTCTCAAACTCAAAACAACTACTGTACAACAAAATTATCAAACCAAAATCACCCGTAAGAAGTGCTTGGAAGTCAAGAAGAATATTCACAACAGGGTAGAATAAAAGCTCCGTCACCCACATTCACGCACATAGCACTCCCTGCAGATAGTCCAAGGACGAAATCCTCACAACCGTCCTTGAATTTACTCAAACAAAACCAAAATTGAAGAATAACACATTATCGACGCCATCACAACTGCAAAGAGAAGAGTTTAAATTAGGGATTGCTCAGCAACAAGTAATAAAGGCTAAGTTAGGAGACCTATATATATTTTAGAAGGAAGGAGGAAAGCAATAACAAAGCTGGTTGAAATACCCAAATAAGTACAAATATTGTAGCTGGGTCGTTCTGAATCGACTTTCCAAGCAATTATTCCGTTACAATACTTCTGCTGTACTGTTCAAACATTCAAATTGTTACTTGGTACTATGAACCATTGATGTCGAATAGTTGCCCAGAAAAGAGCTAAGGATGTCAAAGTAGATGTGTCGCGTTAAACCTTATCAAAAAGTTTGTCACTGTAAGGTGTATTGATTTGGGGGTGGTTTTGACACATACTAGCGAATCATTTATATTCAAATCAAAAACTCACTGCTGTTTTCTTTGATATAAGCTGATTTTTAATGCAAAAGCAGTTTGAACAGGTAAAAGTGGAGATTTTATCAGTCCTAGAGCGAAGAGAACGAAATCTTATATATTTGTTCTGTCGTCTCAACTTGTAGGCCGTATTGAAAACGCGCTTGATCCGTTGTTTGCGTTACTTTTAAATGGAATAGTAAAATGAGGGCTCCTGAAGGCTTCCAGTTGCCTAGTCCAGTCGACTTTGACAGTCATCCGCCACCTCAGTTGCCAAAATATCTCAAGCACCAGGTGTACGACAAACCTGAAGTTTTTGCGAAAGTGGATGAACATGCTATGAATGTACGTAGTATTATACAAGTGTTTTTGTTTATCAAATAGCGGATGATTTTATTGAATTACCATCAACTTACATTATTTTGCTCTCCTATAGGTTGCTGGATATCAGCACCCAACATTCAGGGACCTAATGTGGGACCTGTTATATCGTTACAAATTAGATGAATTAGAAAGAGCTCGAGTGATATTTCGATGGATGACTGCGAAAGATATGCAGAACATTCATTTCGAAAACGTTTCTCCCAATTCTCCGGAGGATGTACTTATGTCCTTCAGTACAAACCGTGGAACATTTTCAAGAATGTATGAAGTTATGTGCAGGTATGATGTTGTAGAAAATTATATCTTTTTAGCTATTCTGAAATCCATTGTGTCACTGTTAGTGGATATGCTAAAGGTGTGGATTACTTACCTGGGGATAAGTTCCTCGGTCTTCCTCCTAATCACTCGTGGAACGTTATATACATTCGAGGGTCTTGGCAGCTTGTAGATGTCCACTGGGCTGCACGGTATCTGAGTTCTGGTAAAAATGTTCCAGAAAATGTTGTCTATGAATACGATGACTTTTATTTCATGATGGAACCCCAGCAGGTAAGCTGTAACCATCTGTAGCAATACTTATGCACTTGGTTTTTAATTATAAGATCTTATAAGGTTTTAAAAGCCTTCCATAGAGTAATTTACAGCTTTAGTATTAATTGTGCTACATGCATTATTGCTGCAAATGTAATCGGCACTATTTTATTTCTCATATATCTCCAGTCAGTATGTTTCAAAGGGTTCAGAACTCTTGACTGTAATACGCCTCGATAGGGGCTTTCCCACGACTGATATCTTTTGTATGAAAGACATAACTGGTGTCATCACCTTATTTTTTGAAATCATTGTAATACTTGTTTCACTTGTAATAACTCCATATCTTGTATGGATGATGTGATTGTCTGACGTGCAAAGTTATCTATATTTTTTTCTGGGATGCGATACAGCATCCTTTCTCACGCTTTATCTAACTAAATTTTTTCATTTAGTCTGAGAACGTCTTTGTATTAACATATATGCTGTTCTGTCTAGATGAGACACCGTAAAGTATGACTTGTTGATTGCTGACATTTTTGAAACGATAGTCTCTGTCTTACAGTAGCACAACAAGAGATCTATTTAGAAATTCTAGTGTCCTTTAAGCTAATAGTTGTCATAGAAGAAGAGTGATTGCAAAACATGGGAAGCCAGTACATATTGAGTTCGGTGTTTTATTGGTAGTGTGGATACATCTATGAACATCTTGTTCCTAACCTTCATGCCATGTGCCCTGTTGTGGGTAAAAATGAAATATGTTCAGTGTTCTTACGATACGATTACAAATAGTACTGTGTGTAATGCTTTGAACATAAACCTTCACTAGCTAATTCTGCGTAAACAGACCGACTAGTAAAGGGAAGCAGCTTAGATCTCCAGGGAGATTCACAGATTGACATCTTTGGATATCAGCTTTTTTGCACTTGGGGCTAAAAAGAAATATACCATACAAAGATTATGTTTAAAATATTATTCTATTGCTTATTTTTTTTCAGGCAGTATATAGCCATTTTCCAGAAGATCAGAGGTGGCAGCTTTTACCTGTTCCTCTTACACTTTCACAGTTTGAGAATTTACCACTTACAAAGTCACAATTTTTCAAGTGTGCGATCGATTTCCTAGAACAGCACCATGGCGTCGTTAGAACACAGGATGGTTGCCTTAGAATGACACTTGGATTTTGGCGCCCTGGTGGTTTCACTTATAAGCTACAATACTTGGTCACTAGTTACAACCACCCCGAACCTGATTTTCTTACGGCTTATCCAAATGACTTGAGGGATCAAGTTCCAAACCTCGACGTTGATTTAAAATGTTTTGTTTTACAAGAGACAACGAAAGATCATCTAAACTTCTTTTTCCGACTTCCAGCATCTGGTATCTACTACCTCACTATATATGCTCAGGTGAGTTCCAGTTTATAAAGTCGTATTATTGTATTTGGCGAAGTACCTGCATACTTTTGTGTCGTAGACTTTTAATATTCATTTCTGCGTTTATCTGTCACATTTAGATAAATTTGTAGTTTTAGATATGGTTTATAAGTAAGACAGGATATCATTTCGTTGGTACAAACACCCAACCTTCACATAATAAATTCAGTGTTCAAACCCTGCACTGCTTGAATTATTCTGGGGAATGGATTAGCATGGTAAACTTCCACATATCGAGTATGGCTTATATCCTCATAAGTAAAAGTACATGTACCAAGTAATTAAGTTACTTGTCTCATTATTCGTTATTCATTCTAAATACACTTTCTTCTGTTATAATTAAAACATTGTAAGAAAATTTTTGTACAATGAATGGCTTTTGAGGAATTAAGACGATGCTACACTCAGCAGTTCATGCGGAATAGGTTTGCAGTCGATATTATCCCTTTACCACTAGATATCAGTTGTAGCGTACATTTCAAAACAAAAAGCCTGTAATCTGATACCTCGAAATTAAAAATTTTAAACTATTCCAACATTTGTTACACAAGCTTTTCGATTCTCACTAAATCATCCATTCTCGTAGTCACTGCTTCCGTCATGGATTTATAGGAGTTGAATATGAGAACATGCTCTCTTACTTCAAAAGTATTGGTTATTCAACTTTTCATTAGTTATGTTTTAGCCAAACTATTAATTCAAGGTTCTCATTCTAGGTGTTCATTCTTTCATAGATCAAATTTACCATCTGCAAATTGATTCGAAATTTGCAATTTACGCAGTTGGCTGACTGACTGCTTTCAACGTAAAACTTTGCACAGATGTGCAGCAGTTCGAATCGCTACACTCCATGTAGCACACCAAAGCAAGAGAAGAAAGTAGGAGAGATGCATAATGGAGACAGTAGACAGAGATATGCGGCAAAACAATAGTAATATGGAAGAACAATATAGTTTTATTGGATACTATAAGTCCATCTGCATCTGCACCAGCCATTGAGAACGATTTTAAGCCATATCACCGATTGTCTGCAGTCATCATTGGTTTTTACTGTCCTGAGGACTTCAAACAGTCTGGAAGTCTAAACCTTCCTACGTGGCTTAAACTAACTATTGTGGATTTCATTGACTAATGCCATTTACGCAATCCAAGGAAGTGAAATTTCACAGTAGTTTCCTCCTGGAATCAAAGTTATTCACATCAGAATATGTGATTAATGGTAATCAAGAAAGCAAGTATATTTAAGTACAACTATATACTACGGATTGATTGAGATGAGCGGTATTTAGTGTATCAATGAATCAGTGGTATGTAGTTTTGTTTTTTTCCCCTCTTAGATTTTAATCTTCACCCAAAAATGAACCAGTCAGTTCTTATAGTCATTTAGTTATATTCCTGGGACTTATGCGGATTGCGTGCAGCATCCAGCTTTGTCATTTCAATATATTCAAAAAAACTGTCAATTAATTTATATCTCCAGGGTTAATTAGGAAATACTTGTATAGTTAAATGTTGGTCTAACCACTCAATTAAGGAGAGTAAGTTCTGTTTAATAATTTAATATGATCAGTTAACTGATTTGACTGACTTTATAATTAAAGCCTTCTGAGAAACCAGTTTTATCACATTTCTACAGGCGATCTATCCCCCTCCCCCCACAATCGAATCTTTTTAATTGCAATATTCGCCTTAGTTTTGTAGTATACATTTATCGGAAATCATAACATCATATAGGAAATCTGAAACCTTTTCTCATTATGGTTAGTCGAGAGTTTAACCTGTCTAAGGCTTACCATGAAACTTTGCCATATGCAAACTTGTGGTACTTACAATTCTGTTTAAGACAGTCACCTGTTGAAGTATATTGGCAAATTCGGGATCCACTTTGCTTGTGATAATATGATGGGTACATAGAACAGTGTAACTGCTATAACGGCAGAAGATAAGAGAATCGGTAATGCACCTTTATTAAGGAAAATCACATCATTTTTATACATTCTTATCCATATTAAAGTTCGGCCAGGTCAGAGAAGAATAAATTGTTCCGATTGGTTGCCTGTTGGCCCAAGGTTGAACAAGTCCAATCAGGTTATTTCATGCCCACAACGTAAACTAAATCTTTCTCTGCATCCATTAACTTAAAATGTTGGTTTCAGTTTTGGCCGGTCCCTATCAATCTGCATCACGCCATGCTGTGACCAATTTCCAATGTTTTTCATAGTCGCATAATAGAATTTTGAGTCACTTGTGTCATACTTTTGTTCGCTTGTTTGGAAGAAAATCCTAACAAATCAAAACTTTGTTTCCAATCGGTTACGTTTTTACTTTACATATTTTATAAAATATTTTTTGCATTTCAGAGCTTACTGTTTTATTAATTGTCCACCCAAAAAGTATTGGAGTCATTTTTCACGTATATTTACAAAATATCTCCTAGGCGTTTATAAACCCACTGGTGTATTTTTTCAGCTATCGTTTCACACTTTTCCACACACGGCGTATCAAAACTGATGACGTCAGTATTGTCTTACTCTCGCCGCTTCTTTTTTTTACTCTGAATGCCTTCTTCTGTGATCGCTTTCTTATCCAAACATTCATGAAAACCAAACGCCTCTATTCCACAACACACTGGTTGAAAGTAACTATCCCATTAGTATGTGCCTAGATGATTTTCAAATTCGTATGAATAAATCTCAGAATTAAATATGTTTATGTATAGCTTATATTTGCTTTCATTTTATAGGAACTTGCAAGTTTATCTGTTGGTCGAGAAAGCACTTTTCGAGCAGCTTGTGAGTATAAAATCATTTGTGATTCACCAGCACGAGATGCTCAACCTTATCCAATTTGTCATGATGCTAATTGGGGACCAGCATGGTCACATGTAAATCATTATGCACTTGAACCAAGCCATATAGAAGGTGTTATCAGTATACCTAGTGAATTGGACTCATTGGTTAACTCAAATGGACATTATACACCAATTCCAAAGACTGTTGATATACGCTTTCAAAAACATCGACCTGAAGTTAACTTATTGGCTAAATTACATCGAAATGGAGTATCTGATGAATTCCTTGATCAATATCAACGTGTTACAGAAACAGTACGTGAAACTTTGTTTCATGTTACACTACCTGAACCTGGTAAGTTTTTATGTGAACTCAGTTTTATTTTTTCTATAATTATTGCAAGTATTTATAGTTGTAAAAATGCCTGTAACTTGGTTGTTTATGTCCAGTTGAAAAGAAAATTCTACACGAAGATTTAACAAAATATCCCCTTAATAATCAGGATTGTGATTGATTTGTTTGGGCGCTTGACTTCCAATCATTTGGCCGCAGGTTCGAACACTGCCTGCTACCTACGGATGTTTGAGCGGCTAGGTAGTAGCATCAGAACTCTTAAAATTAGTATGGCTCACTGCGTGTGGCTGTCAAGTATATTTTAATGGATAAAAAGTAAAGCTATATGGCCCACTGAACATTGTTTGATTAGCGTTCAAGTAGGAAACATGCATATCGATAAGTATAATCGATACTGGTACCTTGATGTCATCTTTTTAATTAAATCATGATATTCTTAACTAACTGTTTCAAATTTATCATACGGCAAATACATTTCAAGTAGTAGTATTAGTAGTTTAAAAACCTCAGTTTACTGAATTTCATAGTTTCATATTTAGTTGCTTTTATCCTTGTAGGTATGCGTAGCTTGATTCACTACTCAAACCTTTCAAACTTCTCAGTAGGAACAGCTTTTTGAAGCCTGAGCTCCTAGGACGATGTAGTCCTTCTAAGCGAGGACGCTGACAAAATACAGCAGATTCTTCTGAACACCTTGAGCTGCAATCTACGAATGTTTGGCATGTGATTCGCTCCCGCCGAATGCAAGATGATGCTACAGGACTGGACTACACCGACTCCTAGTTTAAAAATAGGAAGTGAAGTGGTAGAACGCGTTGACCGCTTCACTTATTTGGGAAGTATGATCAGCCAGTGCCAACGGGTTAATCTCTGGCGAAATCTCAGCACGAATACAGGGGGCTCGTTTCGCATTTGCCAGTTTACGCCGTCTCTGGCGTAGACGAGATATTCGACTATCAACCAAAGGGCGGGTGTACTGCTCATCAGTCCGCTCCGTCTTCCTTGATGGCTGTGAGACCTGGCCACTGAGAGTGGAAGACATGAAAAGAATAGCTGTCTTTGATCATAGGTGCCTGCGTTCTATCTCCCGTGTGAAGTGGCATAATAAGGTGGGCAATATTGAGGTTAGGCGTCGAGTTCTAGGTAGACAGGGGAAATCAATCGAAGAAGTTGTGAAGTTACAAAGACTGAGATGGTTAGGACATGTGTTACGTATGCCTAGCCATCGCCTTCCTCGACGAGCAATGTTAGCTGACATAGGGTCAGACTGGAAAAAAGCCAGTAGTGGTCAAACCAAAACGTGGCTTCACCAGTCAATGAAATCTACAACAGTTAGTCTAAGCCACGTAGGAAGTTGTAGACCTCCTGGTTGGAGTCCTCAGGACGGTAAAAACCAATGGTTGTAAACAATTAGTGACATGGCTCAAAATTGTTCTCAATGACAGCCCAGATGCATCCACTCCTTGTGACTTATGATTTCCAATGAAACTACATTGTTCTTCGTTACTTCTATTTCTTTGTCTCACACCTCTGTTTACTATCTGTATTATGCATTTCTTCTACCTTCTTCTGTTGCTTTGTGTGGTACATGGAGTGGAGTGTGGCGACTTGAACTGGCGCACATCGGTGCGAAGTTCTATGTCGAAAACAGACAGACAGACAAGTCTGATCACTAAACGACTTCATTTGGAGGACCAATGAAAACCAGAGCGTTCTGGACAACTGTTCCGTTTTAGTTTGGGACTCTTGGGAACTGCGTACACATGACCCTATCCAGGATCGAACTCGGGACCTTCCGGTCACAAGTAGAGCTCGTCAACCACTCTGACTTTGAGACGGAACTCAATGACCCATTCATTCCAACTTCTGCCTATTCGAGATATATACCACATAACAGCTGTCCAGTACTCCCTGGTTTCTTCAATGGTTCTCTAACTAAAGTTAGTTGGCGATCGAAATTGAAATCAATCGAATTCCTACAAACCAACCCTTGGAAACAGTGTTAACTTGATTTTCGCTTTTTAAAGATCTAAACTAATTAGATGAGAAATGTTTACCAAAAATAAAGCAATGATTTTTATTTTTCAGTTGACTGTTTAAAAATTTGATAAAGTATGTACATTTCCATCTCTATACATAATCTGGAACACTCATTATTCGACGTCTTCTTACACGTTGGAAAGTTTGTAATGAGCATTATCATATAACAGTTCCACACCCAAATGTAGGATTTCAACTGCTGAATATATGGACGGCATGTATAATAATGACGACATCAGGGTGTTATTGTTACTTCCTTTAATTCCTAGAGGAACATAGGGCTTCAGCCGCCCGTCTTCATTGCCTTCGGTTTTCTGCCAACTTTTTCACCCCGCTCCAAGTCTGCCCACATGCTTTCATCTCCTCTTCACATGACCTCCTTCAAGTCATCCTTGCACTGACGACCAACTCGCCGCTTCCCTTTTGGGTTCCACTCGAGCGATGGCTTGTCTAGTGATGTCACTTGATGGTTTGTTTCCTCAGAGTATGACCAATCCACCTCTATTTCTTCCTGATTATTTGTTTCACAATCGGTTCCTGGTTGGTTCGCTCCCAGGGATCCCTGTTTCCGATCTTTTCTGGGTATCTGATCTTGAGTATTGAGCGAAGACAACTGTTAAAGAAGGTCTGTGTGTGTTGTTAAGAACAACTAATTCATACATTCAAACTCTTCATCCATATCAAAAACGTTAGGAAAAGGTCAACTTCAAAAGTAGAACATCTTTTTGTCTTATTCTATCGTGTTCAAAGGCATCCTTACAAAGAAGAAGTTAGGCGTCACAATAATAAAACCGTGTATCGACAACCTTCAGTAGAAATACATTGAAATGAAAATTTCATTCATCTACAAATCTATATCTATAGCAGCACTTCATTTACAAGTGATCATCATTAATCCACCTCTTCACTGTCTCTTAAATACTTAGTTTTCCCAAATCCCAAAATCATTAGTATTTTCAATATCGACTCTGAAAGCTCTACAAGCAAAGCAAACTTCACAAAATAACTCTGATCTCAGAAATGACACTCTACAAAATGTTAAGGCATTCAACTGCTACAATCCATTTTAAACTATTCAAGCTTTACTAACCGAAACTTTAACATCTGAGACTGTGTGTGTGTGCATACTAACAAGAATACGAAGCGTAAACTTGACTGTTCACTTGATATTATCTCGTCAATACTGTTATGATTTCACTTTATTCTATCTACTCAGTAAAACTCAGTTTACAAGAGCGATGATAATCTGAATAACAGAAACTCTTATCGAATCTAGACAGTTAAAACTTTCACATCAATATACACATGTAAATATTATAAAAACATAAACTTCAGATAAACTCAATAAAATAAATAAATAAATAAAAAGTTACATGATAAAATCAGGTATTTACCAACCAGGAAAGAAGGCTGTTTCACACACACACGTACACGCACTGTAAGCTTTTCTTTTAAATATATGTTGTTATACACGTTTCAAACTCGAAACATTAGCACTAGATTTATCGTTAATCATGGCTCAAATTACTAAAATAAAAATAACAAAACCTTGTCTACTAAGGGGTTATAACAGTCATGGCTTGATGCTGATTTAAATTTTTCTTGAAACGGTTAATCACACTACATAAATACCAATAATTGCACTGATAAGCTGAGTAATTACGCAAAGGAGCCTGTCTGTCTGTTTTCCACATAGAACTTCGCACCGATGTGCGCCAGTTCAAGTCGCCACACTCCACTCCATGTACCACACAAAGCAACAGAAGAAGGTAGAAGAAATGCATAATACAGATAGTAAACAGAGGTGTGAGACAAAGAAATAGAAGTAACGAAGAACAATGTAGTTTCATTGGAAATCATAAGTCACAAGGAGTGGATGCATCTGGGCTGTCATTGAGAACAATTTTGAGCCATGTCACTAATTGTTTACAACCATTGGTTTTTACCGTCCTGAGGACTCCAACCAGGAGGTCTACAACTTCCCACGTGGCTTAGACTAACTGTTGTAGATTTCATTGACTGGTGAAGCCACGTTTTGGTTTGACCACTACTGGCTTTTTTCCAGTCTGACCCTATGTCAGCTAACATTGCTCGTCGAGGAAGGCGATGGCTAGGCATACGTAACACATGTCCTAACCATCTCAGTCTTTGTAACTTCACAACTTCTTCGATTGATTTCCCCTGTCTACCTAGAACTCGACGCCTAACCTCAATATTGCCCACCTTATTATGCCACTTCACACGGGAGATAGAACGCAGGCACCTATGATCAAAGACAGCTATTCTTTTCATGTCTTCCACTCTCAGTGGCCAGGTCTCACAGCCATCAAGGAAGACGGAGCGGACTGATGAGCAGTACACCCGCCCTTTGGTTGATAGTCGAATATCTCGTCTACGCCAGAGACGGCGTAAACTGGCAAATGCGAAACGAGCCCCCTGTATTCGTGCTGAGATTTCGCCAGAGATCAACCCGTTGGCACTGGCTGATCATACTTCCCAAATAAGTGAAGCGGTCAACGCGTTCTACCACTTCACTTCCTATTTTTAAACTAGGAGTCGGTGTAGTCCAGTCCTGTAGCATCATCTTGCATTCGGCGGGAGCGAATCACATGCCAAACATTCGTAGATTGCAGCTCAAGGTGTTTAGAAGACTCTGCATCTTGTCAGAGTCGTCACCTAGAAGGAATATATCGTCTGCGTATTATAAGTCAACGAGATTATTCCCTGGTAGCAAGTCAATCCCTGAGTCGCTGGAGTTACTTAGGGTTAAGTCCATTAGTACATCTATGATGAAGTTGAATGGAAAAGGGGATAATGGGCGTCCTTGACGGACACCAGTAGTCGTCCCCAGTTCAGATGACAACTCGCCGTAAGCCCCTCACCTGGCTGGCTGCATGAGTACGAGTAGAGTGCCTTAATCAGTGCAATGTATTTTCTCGGCATTCCCTTTACAGCCAAGC